TGTGTGTGTGTGTGTGTGTGTGTGTGGTGGGTGGCGGGGGGGTGGGGCGACTCCTCCCCCACCACCAATCAATCAATCAATCAATCTAACCCCTTTTTTTTATTATTTTTTTTATTTTGCATCTGCATTTTTTCAAAACACCTCATACTTCTGCAAAAAACATAATTCATTTCTAAAAAAATACAGGTAAACTCACGGACCATATATCTCATGATAAAAAATGACCAAAAAAAAATTCTGCTTTTCTTTATTTTTTTTCTTTTTATTTTCTTTTAATCCAATTTTATTTTTTTTAATTTTCTTTTAATCCAATTTCGTTTTTGATTTTTTAAAAATCCTTAACAAAGTCGGATTAAAAAAATATATATATGGGGTTGTAGGGCTTAAAATTCCCTACAACCACATATATATATATATATATATCGTCAAATAGAACTGCCCGGTAAACCGTAGGCAGAGAGGGAGAAGAGGACAACAAACGAGGGGCTGTGACAAACTGTTTCGTCGGAGTCTCATATATATATATATATATATATATATCGATTATTTAATTCAGGAAAATTCGTGTAAAATCGCGTCCGCGGTGCGGACCAGGTAGGCCGTGGATGCGGACCCATTTGGGTCCGTGATCAGAGCTCGACCACGAGGACGCGTCCGCGGGTGTTTCGTAGCACAGACCCCCCAGCGGTGAACACACCCCTCCGTGCCCCCCCAAAAAAAAAGTGTTTTTTTTTTTTTTTTTTTTTTTTGCATACGGACTCCCCACGACACCCGACACCCACCCACCCGGAAACAGCGGTCGACCCTCCCCTGGAAGATGTCGAACGTACGTACGGAAGTCCGTACGTACGACCCGTACGGGCCCCCGGGGTCCCGTACGTACGACTCGTATACGTACGGGCGTATACACAGCATTACGTATTTCGGAGCGGCGAGGCGCAGTGAGCACGACAAGACACTCGCGGAGGAGTCACTTCGATACCTTCGCCAGCAGACTGGGGGAGATGAGGACTTGTATCAGACGCTGCGCACGCAGTTGGCTGAGTTTCTTAGCCGGGAGGGCGATTGGACGTACGGAGGGGTTGAGGGTGACAGGGACGCGACCTTCTTCAGAGGGGAGAAGGAGACGTCGCAGGTGGGGCAGTGGTGGGTTCAGCACGGGGTCCCTCTCCTTCAGACTTACGCCATTCGCCTGACACACACATGGACGTGCTCCTCTCCAGCGGAGAGGAACTGGGCTGTCCATGAGTGTGTTCAGGTGAAGAAGCGTAACCAGCTTGGTTTTATCAAGCTGGCTCGTTTGGTGGAGATATCCACCAACTTGAGATTGACTCGTTGACAGGGGAGGGGTTCAGGATACGTTCTGCCATGGGAGGACGTTGAGGAGGAGACAGAGGACAGCATTCCTCTTCCTTGTGACGAGGGTGTTCGGCCAGCTGACCGAGTCACGGAGGCGCAGCGCGAGCGGCAGGTGCAGCACGGGCGGAAGGATCACCTTTCCAGGTCTCCGCCCAGCGTTGAGACATATTTCGGTCATCGCGCTACGGTGCTCATGCCGACTGAGTTGGACGCCGTGTACGATCCCGAGCCAGATCCTATGGCTCAGGACCCGATGGAGGCGGACCCGTGGTCCGATCCAGACGACCTGGCAGTGGAGTCTGAGCGCGGAGATTCTGATGATGGTGGCGACGATAATCCTAGCGTCGAGATGTTGYGTCCTCGGACGCGTGCTTCCACTGCATCCGCTGCGCAGCATGCTCCTCCCCCTCCACCCCCGCCCCCGAGTGCGCGTYCTTCCACTRCWTCCSCTGSGYAGCATCCTCCTCCCCCTMCAYCKCCKYCCCCGAGTGCGSGTSCTTCCACTGCAGCYGCTGCGCAGCATCCCCCTCCACCTCCRCCTCCGCCTTCGAGTGGYCGTGCTCCCAYTGGAGMCGWTGCGCARCATCCCCCTCTACCTACAGATCGTCMASGACATGGYGAGCASGGGACTYGCGACATYGTTGACGAGCGAGACGACRRCGACGACGATGATAGASAGGRGTACGAGGGCARYRGTGAGGACGAGGATGATCCCGMGTATTCCCCGAGACRCGGACGTGGTGACGACGATGACGCCGACGACGAGGSCGGCGATGGTACACAGGCTGCAGGTGGTTTGCGGAGGTCGGGTCGACATCGTGCCGACCRATGTTGTGGTGCASGCAGGGGGGACAGTGGTGCAGGCAGGGGTGTGGGGGGCGCAGGACACACAGGGGGATCAGGCCGTGGTGGCTGAGGACGGTCGARGCGAGAGTCTGCATCCTCCACTCGTACTGTGCATTGGGTTGATGAGGGTGGTGCGAGAGGAGAGGTTGGCGCCGGGTCGGCTGAGTTTGCTGCTGCGTCGGTAGAGGCTGCTGTAGAGGTTGCTGCTGTAGAGGCTGCCGTGGGGGGCGCAGGACACACAGGGGGATCGGGCCGTGGTGGTGGAGGACGGGCGAGGCGAGAGTCTGCATCCTCCACTCGTACTGTGCATTGGGTTGATGAGGGTGCCGCGACAGGAGAGGTTGGCGCCGGGTCGGCTGAGTTTGCTGCTGCGTCGGCAGAGGCCGCTGTAGAGGTCACTGGAGAGTTCGCAGCGGCATCTGAGTAGGTCGCAGGGGGCTTTGCAGAGGTTGCTGGCAAGGCTGCGCAGGTTGGGAGGGCTTCTGCACAGTTGGATGTCAGTTTCAGTGGTATTCTTGATGTTTCGTTGGGGCTTCCTCCGACACCGCCAGGCGAGTATGGTAGTGGTGACGCAGCGGCTACGCCCGTCAGTCGGATACTCCGGGATGTACCTTCATGCAGCATCGGTGACATCAGTAGCATCATGTTGCAGGAGGCAGCAGCGGGGACACAGTGTTCGTCGGGGCAGGAGGAGTGTGCAGCAGGGGACGGTGGGGATTGTGGACCTGAGCAGGAGCGAGCGCCAGAGTCGGAGCAGGACTGGATCGACCGCGAGGAGAGGGAGAGGGCGCAGGACATGGCTAGCCGTTGCGAGATGACACAAAGTATTGCATCGAGGGCACGGGCAGAGCGGATGCTAGAGACAGGCGGTAGTGAGGGTCATCGTGCGACGGACGATGCAGTGCTTAAGTCTGGAGGCGCGGGCGCCCGGATGCAGGCGAGAGATCCGCGTCCACGGTTCAAGGTGTTTGTATATTGCCGATCGATGGAGCCATGACGGCGGAGGAGTTGGAGCGGCAGGTACAAGAGGACCCATTGGAGGCAGATCGGCGCGGACGGATGGACGAGGCGTCGAGGAGGTTAATGGCAGAGGCCCCAACTTACGTGCCCTGCACCCCGTCACTGCCATCGTCCACCAATGGTGCCACTACCTCCATACATGTTGAGGGTCCAGTCACGGGGCGGATTACCGCACTGGCACCTGCAGAGTCTCCTTCTCCCAAATCACGGAAGAAGAAGATGTGAGCAGGTAAGAGTCTCAGTACTGTGAGGAGGGTGACGCATGCGATGCGGGAGACTCAGCCGGGGCTGGCCGGTTTACATTCGCAGACTCGGGAGGCATTGGCCCTGGACGTTGTCGCGGAGACAGTAGGTTGGCGGGATAGGGGCTCCAGCTGGGCGACGGAGCAGCCCATCACAGCACCTGCTGAGGCGGAGATGCCATGTACTGGGGGGCGCACATCAGGTAGGGGGGAGGAGGCGGAGCACAGCGCCCCCCCCGGGAGGAGCATGGCCGGACGTATATTGGGGGAGGATGTGAGGACGGTGCTTGCGCAGCGACCGTCACAGGCAGGAGTCGTTTTGGAGTCCGGTACCGATGATTTGGAGATGCCTCGTGGCCAGCGGAGGAGGGCTTCCGTGTACGACCTTCTTCGAGCACAGCACGGGGTTGACGCGGTGCCACAGGGGGGGGTTCATGCTCCGGATACTGCGCACGGGCCGGTAGGCGGCACAGGTGGCGGCGACAAGGTCAGAGGTGCGGTGCCGCAGAGGAGGAGGAAGGACATTATGGACGACGATGATGTTTAGTCCCACCATTAGTCCTCTTTCATCCTGTATTTCTTAGTAGTGTATATTATACTTAGTGCTTCGGATGACGTGATGTGTTCATAGGTGTAGTGTTTATTAGATTCGTATTTGTACAGATGGTTAGACTACTGCACAGTTCTCCATACACAGGTGGAGTAGGTGCAGATTGTTGTTTCTTTTTCATTTTATTTTTGCATCGATGTTTCAGAGGATTGCACTCTATATTTAGACATGGGCGCAGCATCTGCAACGCTTGCATTGTTTTTGTTTTCCTTCTACTTTGTTATCGATGTTTCAGACGATTGCACATTGTATTCACACATTATTTGATTGAGTTCAATCTTCATGTTTCATTTATTGTTGTGTATGTATGGTGTAGTTGTTTCGTGTCACGGGACGGATTGCCCTGTAATGTTGTACTTTATAAATTTCAGCAACGATTGTCACTCGCACATGATCTTCAATGAGTCGATGCTTTTGAAAACTGTTTGTAATTGTTATTGTTTGAAGTCCCTTGGCCCTCACACGGTGAACCAATGCACCACACAACACAACAGCCCCCCTCCCCCTTCCACACAGTCCCCCCCTTTCCCCACCCAAAAGGACCCTCACACGGTGAACCATCGTCCACCACTGGGCCCCCCAAAACAACCGTCCCACGGTGAACCAATGCACCACACAACAACTCCCCCTGACGAACCCCTTCCCTGCCCCAAATTTTTATTTTTTATTTTTCATGTATTCAACACCTCCACACAGACCCCCCAGCGATGAACACGCCCCTCCGCGCCCCCCCAAAAAAATATTAACCCCCCACCCCTCATCACCCCAACGAGAAAAAAAAAGTGTTTTTTTTTTTTTTTTTTTTGGCAGACAGACTCCCCACGACACCCGACACCCACCCACCTGAATACCGCGGTCGCCCCCCCTGGAAGACGCCGAACGTACCTACGAAAGTCCATACGTACGGCCCGTACGGGCCCCCGGGGTCCCATACGTACGGTCGTATGGGAGTACGTATGGCCCGTGTACGTACGGACCTATACACAGGTATATGGGAAGGAACTCCCTGATGATGCTGTGGTTGTACGCCCACGGCGAAACGCGTCGGAGTGTCGCGTACTGGGCTTAACGGAAATTTTTTATCGATCTTCCTATTTGGCTGTGCCGGTATTCGGTTGTGCCTATGGTGTGATCTTCCAGCTCTCAATGCAGTGTGGCCGCTGTGTTTTCTCCTGTGAACTCTCTCTCTCTCTCTCTCAAAAACACACATACACATACACACGACCCCCAGCCCACACCCCTACGCCCAACGGAAACGCGCTCAACGCGTTTAGCCGCAATCATTGAACGCATGTTCAACGCGTTCAAAACATGAACGCGAAACGCGCGTTCGATGAACGCGCGGCAACAATGTAAAGGAGAAGGTTGCGTAAAACAAGAAGAGAAATGTGGAATACGGATGAGTACGCACGGAATCAAGCGATGATTTCCAAGGACTAAAGACATTTATCGATCTGCTATGACAACCTATTTTCAAACGATGGGGAAAAAAAGGGGGGTTGGTCTTGCGAGGATACTTCCCGTTAATCAAAAAGAGGCAATGCAGGGTTACTTGTACATCTGGGCATACAAGGAATGAAGATCTGAATGACTTAGGTCCTTCGTTATTCTCGTTCGTCAAGTGATACGTGCTACTGCTATTACTAGTGTTGCTGATTTATCAGACAAGGTTGTTACACGACTCTTTCAACAGGATGATCAATTGATCGAGGTGCTTAAATACGAATGATGGCTATCGCTTGTTTATTTACGTATCCCAATCGCTAGATACTCCCTGAATGCGTGTAGCAGAAGCACCGATATGCGTCGCTACATCTACGTCTATGTGACCGTTTGAATGCGCTGAACACTCGTTCGCGATCAAAGGCCCGCATTCAAACGCGCTGTATGCCACGTGGCACGAATTTGTCGAATGCGACCCACCCTACCATATGAGCGCATGACGGACTATGGGTGGGGGGAATTGGATTTCCAAAGAAAAAAAGAGAGGTGTGGCAGTGCATTTTTCCATGTACTAGAGGTACTAGCTGTCGTAGATTCATTCGATGTCGCTCATCAAATCGATGAAAGTACCATGAGGCCGGCCTCGCTGTTGGAGACTTACCTGCTCTCCTCTCTCTCTATTTCTCTCTCTCTCACACACACACACACACACACACACACATACATTCTTACATACATATATCCATATTTTTTGGATATTGACATTTATCAAAATATACCCTTGTATATACAAATTATAATCATACCTGTTTGCAAGAAATTTTGGACCAGGTGCTACCCCATGAAGAGAAAAGCGCAGAGGCCCACCTGACCTATTTCTCATGAAATGTCGTATTATTATTTTTTTCCCACGCAGGACCGACTTTTGAAAGCATTTCGGGCCCCTATTACTCTCCCCAGGGGGGTGCAGCTCGGTCTGCGGGTTTCACAGCGGGTTCTTCATTCTGGTAATGTATAATAACCCGGTGAGACAAAGTGGTAGTCCTCTTTTCATAGCGACGGCCTGCTCCCTGTGCCGAAAGCGACTCTCGTTGTATCGCTCGCATCGGCGCTGGGTGGTGGTGCTGTCGCTCCGCCTTCCCTGTTCTTGAATACGTGGTCGCGTGGTTCTTCCCTGAGTTCCCAAGCGTCATGAGTACCTTGGATCTCGTGCGTGTTTTTTGGCAGCAGTGGGTTCCATCACAAGTCCTACCAGTTGAAGTATGGCGAGTGCATCGGTAACGATCCTCCTTGTTCCCGTCCCACCACCACCCCCCACCCTCTCCCCCCTCACCATCCCCCTGTCTCGTTCTCTGTCCCCTTGAGGATGTGTTCTCTGGGTTCCCTTTCGGAGCGCTATGAAGGAAGTTTTTGTTCTCTGATGAGCCGGCATGGTGGCTGCCGGCGAGAAGTACTTAAGGGCATAATCCACCACCCTCCTTTCATGCATCGGCATCATGGGGCCGCTTGGCCGAATTGGGATACTTGCCTTCTCTCTTTCTTCCTTTTTCTGTTTCCCTGCCCTCCCATCCCCCACATGGTGTGGCTTATATATTTTTTTTTAACGCGATCGTATTGGTTCTTTATCACTATTTTGGCTTGTGATTATGGTATGATGTGTATGTGCGTGGGATTCTGTCGGGTCCGGGGATGGGTGGTTGTTGCCAAAGGAACGAGTCGAGGCGATTTTGCAGGTTTGATTCTGGAGCTCTTCACCATGGACGAGTTGAGCGCAGCATACTGCATCGTCGTCACTTTGATCGCCCTCTTCGCCTTTCTATCATTTTTAGCTTTTCTGGATAGCCGTGAAGCTTTGGTTTGTATCAGCCGGGGCCTGCTCGTGAATGCATCCTCTTCATGTGCCCATCCTCGTGTCTGCAAGGCGTGAGGACTACGCCATTTCGGGGCTGTGTACTAGTAAGGAGTGCGATGGCATTGAGGGCAGGGTATGATGTGAGAGTATTGGAGCATGTGGGGGTCTTGTTCTGATACAGGGTTGTCCATCGGAAGGAGGTGCGCGTGGCAATTCATCTATTGATGATGGCTGCACTACGAGGTGTTGCGGTTTCTTGGTGGTAGCTACAAGGGGAGGAAGGGGTTGGTGTATGATGTGTGGCTGTTGGAGCGTGGAGAAGGGACTGGTGGGGTTTTGTCTAAATACGGGGTTTTCCTTCATAAGGAGGAGTGCATTTTGGTTCTTGTATTGATGATGGCTGCACTTCGTGATTCTACGGAATTTTGGTGGAGCTACGGGGGGGGCGAAGGGGTCTTCTGCGGTCCGTCTTTCGGCCGATTTCGACTCCATGCAATAATATGTGCTGCTTGCTTATTTTGTCTTGGCCCATGCGTATCATGCCTCTTCTTTTCATGGAGGATTCTGAACGCCATCAGCCCGTTGGTTATGGATCCGCAATCGTCTTGTCCCGTTTCTCCCGATGATGTCGTACATCGGTGGACGATTGCTTTATTTGCTTCAACTATCATCATGACGATCACGCTTGTAGGAGGGTGGATTATTGTAGGATTGTTCATCCATGTTGGGATTTTCTCCTTTTGCCCGGTGGCACATACCATGTCTTGGGGATATGGAGGCTCGGGGTCGAAGCTGACGTAGCGGAGTCGGAGATGTTGTGGATGGAGTTTTGATTTTTTCCATGGGTCCTTGCAACCAAGAAGTCTTGATCGAGATACGGTTTTTTGAGTGGATCCATTTCATCTGTTCATTCGATCTTGTTTGTATTGCTTGTGCACCTAATGGGTTGATGAAAAAAACCGAGGGGTCTACAATGCTTTCTTGCTCTTAATTTCTCTTCTTTTTTTTCCTTTGTTCTGGCGTCCCCCTGGTTTGTTTGTCTTTCCCATGCTTAGGGCAATAATCACGAACTCTGTCTGCTTCGTTTTTTTCCCTGCTTATTACACATCTCTATGTATCGTGTATCCGAAATGTCACTTGGTTGTTGCACTCCACGGTTGAGCTACTCTCCACCCCTGTGAGCACGACAGATTATGCCTGAACCATTCCCATCCACTTCGATCATGGGTGACCATGGTGGTTTTTCGTGGGGTAATCCGGGAATCGCTTGACTAGGAGTCGTTTGTTCGCATGGGTTTTTGACACAACATGCCGCAACATGGTCGCGGAGGACCGGAGGTTTGACTCGCAAAGAAAATAAATACACACACACACACACACTCACAAATGGCAATCCCGCACACACACGCCACATGCATACGAACACATACACACACACGCACACTGTGACACACACACACACGCACACACAT